AATCCACTCACCTCGGCCTCCCAAAGTGCTGGGATTACAGCCTGAGCCACCGAGCCTGGCCAACCCTGAACTTTTTAAGAGAAACCCTTAGCCAGGCATGGTGGCTCACGCCTGTGTAATTCCAGCACTTTGGGGGGCGGAGGTGAGAGGATTTCCTGAGCCCACGGGTTCAAGACCCACCCGGGCAACTTAGCAAGACCTCGTCTCTACAATAAATACTCAAAAAAGAAAATAAATCCTTAACTCTTTTAATTCTAATTCCTATATTGGAGTAGGGAGTAGACTGTGTCACACTACCAGGTCACTTCTGAGAGTAAAGACAGGCAGCAGAAATGATTGAGGAATCCGTTTCCTTCCATTTTCATCTCAAAGCTCCTCATGCCAGGAAGGTCCTGGCTTAGTCCCTTTATCTCCTGAGGTGCCCCTGGGTCCTGCATTAGTCCTTGCTTACTGCTTACTGCCCAGGCACCACCCCAGAACACCACCTGCCCCTGCCCCTTACAGATCCCTGGCTACATCGATGGGACCAAAGGTCCCAGATTCCAGTCCCTGGTCTCATAAATACACAGGCTTGAATCTTTGAAATTAGGGAGTCTTAGGAATACTGTTCTCCAGTAAAGGGGAACCCTGAGGAAGGGATGGCAGCTTTACTTTACAGGGAGAGTCACGGGGAGCAGGCCGAGGGAGGAGGGCGGGCACGCCAACCTGTAAGAAGGAGAGGTCGGCGTTGTGTCCGGTGAGAACGATCTCCAGGTTCCCCATCACCACCTCGCACCTCTCGTAGAGCTTGTGCAGAGTCTGGTACTGGTTCTCGGCGTCGCCAGTCACACTCAGCCCATTCAGAGTCCCGGGACACACTGTTCCAAGCGGAGAGAAGAGTGGCAGAGGGCTGGACACAAGTTCTCAGCCCATCGTCACCCCCCCAAGACCGCCCCCTCGGCTGCCCTCTTCCCGTAATATTCGCGGGATCAGAGGCATTTGCCTCTGATCTACCATGAGGGTCCTAGGAGGCCTGAGAGCCTCCTCTCCTCCCAGATCCCCCTCACTGCCCCCTGAATGGAAAGGTGACAAGTTTTCCTTTTCCCACCAGGAGCCCCTCAGTGCCTCTTTTGCGTACTACTTCGGGTACTAAGGGGTTAATAGAGAAGGAAGATGGGGGATTTTCTTCCCTCCTCACAAAGGAGAAGTCAGGGAAGGACCACAACTTTGGTCGCCCTCCTCTCCCCCTCCAACAAGGGCACTTATCCTGCCTCTCTCTAGGTCCGGGAATAAATATCTCTTTGGGGCTAGCACACAGCCCCTATTGTGTCTACTGAGGGTGGGACGGGGGCAGAGAGTGGGGGCAGTGCCTAGGGCCACCGTCCAGCCCACAATGAGGCGATTCTATCCAGGAGGAGGGGGCTGCCCCACCCTGTCCCCAGACACCCCGTCCTCAGCGGCACCCCCTCCACCCTCAAGCCTTGGGCTCAGACAAGTGACCTCACTAGAGGGGGGAGCTCTGGTGGGGGGGAGGGGTCAATGGGCGCTTTGTCTTTAAAGTTGGAAGATAAGGAGCTGGTTGCCCCCCCAACCCCTTCTCCTTCTCACTCCCTTTCCCTATCCCAACACCTTCCACCTCCCACAGCACCACTTTCCAGTACTGCAGTGTTTTTCCCTCGAGGGGAAAACAGCAGCAGACCCACCACCCACTGCTTAGGCCCCCTGCCCCATTTCATTGTTAGAAGAGATGCATCGAAAAGATTCCTAACGTGGCGATCCTGAGTCTAGACTGGAGGTGCATGAGGCGTGTCAGTCTTAGGAGGAACAGGAAGGGGAAATCTTGGACCCCGAGCCTGAGCCTAGTCTCTTTCCTCCCGCTCAGTGAAAGATTGGGGGAAGGGGGGGCTAGGTACCACCTGTTCCCACCACCCTTCCCTGAGGCGGTGGCACTGGGAGGCAGGAGTGGGAATGGAGGCAGGGAGACTGGTGAGGCCCCAAAGCCCCCTTCTAGACACACACCTAGTCTGACACTTGACCTTGGAGGGCTCCCCTTCCCAATCACTCCCCATGAAAGGAAGGGGTTGATTAGTCCCAGCAACAAGCTAAACAGGCTGGGAGCTCCCAGAGGAGTCTGGGGACTCTAGGGTCCTTGGGCTAGAAAGAAAGAGACTAGGAAGGTTAGTCATTTCTGGAACAGCCCCACCCCAATCCCCTTCCTGGCAGGACACCCCCTTTCCCAAGTTAAGGCGCCAACCCTTCTCCCCAGATAAGGGAGGAGCCAAGATCTCTGTACAGGGAAGTGACACTGAAGGCACACGTACACACGGATGGTATATCTCTCCCTTGTGGGCCCAGAAATCTAAACTGGTGTGTTCCTGGATTTTCTTTCGGGAAGTATCTCAGGTGAACCATCTATCCCACCTGTGATTAAGTGTGCATGCAGACTTTGTTGTCTGTGCTTGAAAGGTTGTGTTTGAAAGGCTACAGTGTGAGAGGTCCCGTTCCCTGCCACCCTGAGGGTAAAGTCCATATTACACAAACAGGGGGCAAAGGGCTGGGCAGAAACAGTATTAAAAACACCTCTGGGGAGGAACCAGGCAACTTGGAGAGCAGTGCAGGGGAGGGGAATTATAAAGATGCCTGCTGTACCTGAGGGCCAGGGGCACAGGGAGGGGCAGCGTCCCAGGGCCTGGGACCGAGAGGGTCGAGACGGCTGGAGGTGGGACAGAGCCAGATCTCCAGCCCCTCCTCAAGCAGAGGCTTCCCCTCTGACATCCCCCACCCCCATCCCAGCCGGGACAAAGGGGCTATAGAAGGACTGAGACAGGGCCGGATGCCCAGAGGCTGCAGGATCCAGATAAAGGGTAAAGAGACCCAACCAAGCCTGCCTCCTGCCTCCCCCAGGGAAGGTCGCCAGAGTCTGGGACTCCTGGGTTTCTGCTTGAAGACTCCAGGGGGCTGGATGGCACAGTTACACCGTCACTCCGCTGGCCCCTCCCACTCCAGTGCCCAGACCACCCCCCTCCACCAGCTGGGAGTGTTCACATCTCAAGATCCCAGGGTCTAAATTTAGGCCCAGCAACTGTGGGGGAAGCACAGGTGGTTTCTCCCACTCCCACCCTGGGGAAGGGGCCCGGGATGTGCCAAACCCCAGGCTGAAGGGGGGAGGGGAGGAGACACACAGGACTTCAACCGCAGCGACACACGGGCCCCTCAGGTGTCCACGGCCCCAGAGGCACCCAAAGGGGTGGACTCAGAGAGTAGGGAGTGGGAGGAGGATTAGAAAAAAGCAACCCAGTACTTTGTTTAGAGTCCTAGAGACAGTGCCAGACAATAAACAGAATGGGGGCAGGGTGGCAGAAGGGGGGCCTAGGAAGGTCTCCCCAGGGCAGGAGACCCAGAAGCAGGAAAGGTGCCCTCTTGGCCCTCAGGTTGGGAAGAGAAAAGACAAAAGTTTGGACACGTCTTTGCCCCGACAGCTCCTGGCCCAGGGCCTTGTATATAGTAGATGCTCAATAAATATTAGTTGAGTTGTCCTGGGTCTTGACAAAGAGAAGTTGGTCAAGGTGGGGGCCAGCCAGCTCTACTGCTTTGAGGGCCAGCGGGCAGCCAACCTCTGTGGGGCCTCTCGCCCTGATGTCACCTGGACTTGGCCCTCTGGTTAATCTCAGACCTCCCCAGGGCAGGCTCACTCACGGAAGAGGAGGTGCCGCTCCTGTTTTTCCAACACTACAAAACAACAACCCCCTCCAACCCTTTTGTAGCTCCGCCCTGTCGGCAAAACAACGAAACTGGGGTTGCCGAAATGCGGCGCGGAGTGGGAGGTGGAGGGCCGGAGAGCAAAGGAGACCCTTCCGCCAAGATCCCCACCTCCAACCATCTCCTGTTTACAGAACGGAGGTCCTTTCTCCGCTCCCTGCAGGCCCCCTCAGAAGTGTTAACCACCGTTTCGGCATCAGCCTCGTCCGGGGAGACCCATTCATTAGAGGGTGGGCGATGCGCTGGGGAGGGGGCGTGGGGGGGGCGGGCCAGGAATGCAGTCTTCGTCCGGACCGCGCTGAGAACCTGAACCTGATCTTCCCCTCCCAGGTGGTCCCTGCGGACCCGGGGCCAACACCCACAGCCCCGCAGCGCCAGAGTCTCTGCCCTGCCCTCTGGGACCGCGCGCAGCGGGTTCGGGTCCCAGGTCCACTTACCTGCCTGAGAGTTGCCCACCTCGGAGCCCCGGGCCAGGCTGAGAAGTAAGCCCAGCACCTGCAGAACCCCATTCGCCCGCATGACGCCAGCCTAGGGTGAAGGGCGCCCCGCCGAGTCTGGCCCGGGGGCCCCTGGACTAGGACATCGAGGCGAGGGCCACCTGAGCGGTCCGCGAACTGGTAGCGACGGCGGCGGCGGCGGCGGCGGAGCTTGCAAACTGCAACCGGAGCCGGAGCCGGAGTCCGGGGCGGGATGG